TGCAGGTGATGGTGATGCTCCCACCGGCCCCGCACTGGGGGCTCAGCCCGGGGAGAAGCACCCAGGGGCTCCCGGCACTGCCTGGGTGCAGCATCTCCCTGGGCCAGTGCTGGATGTGGTGCCCTGTCCCCTCACTGCTCCCATGGCTGTTTTCTCCCCTCCTGGCAGTGAGTGCTGCTCTGGGCCTGACCGGGGGCCCCGGTGGAGAGGGGCCAAGGGGCCCTGTCTCTGTGGGTGCTTCCTGTGCACCGGTAGGGTGTTTGGTGCTGGTGATGTGCACTGGAGGGCAGCCGGTGGCATCCCCCAGCCGGTGGCATCCCTGTGCTCAGCTGAGCTGGCAGCGTGGCCGGGGACTGTTGTTCTTGGGGTGCCGTGAGCCTGGCCTGGCTCCTGTGGCATGCCCAGCAACTTCAGCACTGCTCCCTCCTGGCCAGGGCACGCTGCGGCCACACCAGGACTGGGGCACAGCAGGGGTGCACGCCAGCACTGGACATGAGGAGGGGGCCAGGATGGACGGGGCTGCTGTCAGCAGGACTGCACCCTGCTGCCGCGGGTGCCGCTCACTGTGGGTGCACCGCAGCTGAGGTGTCTGCAGGGCACAGGGACAGTGTTGTCATCGTGCTGCAGTGCTGTCCTCTGGGCATCCGGCTGCCCTCCCCTGCCTGCACCCACACAACCCTTTGTCCTGACTTGGCCGGCCATGCAGGGCAGCACGGAGCCCTCCCCACTGCGGCCGAGCTTCGGGCACTCCTGGGGCCACACACATGCCCCGGCCTCGCTGCAACCGCACAGCGGCTCCCTGCCGGCGGGCGGCCGCGGGGCTGGGGGCCGGGGCTGGTGCCTGGGGGCTCAGGGGCATACTAATGGCCCCTCTCCCTCCTCAGACCGGAGCTTGCAGCTGAGCCCGTGGGAGAGCAGCATCGTGGACCGCCTGATGACGCCCACCCTGTCCTTCCTCGCGCGCAGCCGGAGCGCCGTGACGCTGGCTGGGAACGGCAAGGAGCAGGGTGAGCACCCGGGGGGCCACAGGGCCACACAGGTCCTGGCACGGGCAGGGGACTGGGACGAGGGAGCCTGAAGCCAGCAGAGAGCTGGTGCCTGACGGTGTGGTCCCTCCTGCCCACAGTGCCCGTGTGCCCCCGCTCGGCCTCCGCCAGCCCCCTCAGCCCCTGCCACAACCACCGCCTGCAGCACCGCTGCTGGGAGAGGCGGAAGGGGACCGC